CCCCCCCTCTCCCTTTTTGCCAGTCTGCAGGCAAATGGGAAAAACTGCATCTCTAGGCTGTTTTCTCCCTCTTTATTTAAACCCAATTCGTGTATCGGTGATTGCGGGACCTCCGTAGAAGCCAAAATAAAAAGATATAAAATCCTTCTGGAAGGAGCCAGCCAGCCAGAAAGGGGAATGGGGGTAGGGTGGGGTGGGGTGGGGGGCTTGACCTCTCTAGCCTGCCCCTTGGCCCCTTCCCGGCCATTTCTCCCACCTTCTTTCCTCTCCACTCCCCCCTCCCCAGTTTGAAAGCTCAAAAAAAAACCCAACACCCTTGCGGTCCTGCCTGCCCATTTCAGCCTTTGCTCTTAGTTAGGGGGCTGTGGTGGAGGTCAAGACCTTTCTTGCTGTGCTGGCCAAGTGTGTGTTTGTGTGTGTGTGTTGGGAGGAGTGTCCATTGTCTAATACACACACACACACAAAAAGGCCGAAGCAGTAGGCATGTAGGCATGTCGGTTGGGCCATTTATGGGGCAAGGAAGAAGGGTGGGCAAGCAAAGGCAACGGGGGTGCTCTCCCCCTCCTTTGGGGGAGGGGGGCGTGGCCTGCTGGCCGTGCGTGTGTGTGTGTGTGTGTGTGTGTGTGTGTCCTCATGGCCCCCCTCTCCTCTTTTGTCTACCCAGAGAGCACGGCTCGATACAGCAATAAAGAGTTGAAAGGCATGCTGGTCTGGTCACCCAACCACTGTGTTTCGGACGCCAAATGTGAGTGGAACCCCCTCCACGGTGAAGAGCAGGAAGGCAGCACCAGATCGATGGCCTTTGCCTTCCAGGACCCCCTCCCCAGCCCCCCCCTCGTGCTCCCCCTGCCCCCATCCCCCCAGCTGATTCCTCCAAGCTATTTTGATTTTTGCATGCATTGAGTGGTGTTTTTCCCTCCCCTCTCTCTCTTTTCCCTCCTACTTTGAGCCCACCCCACCTCCAGAAGCAACCTTAGCCCTAGGTTTTCTAATGGGGGGGGGAAGCATATATTCCACCCTCAGCTGGTGGCAGGGCCTTTGATTGGCAGCTCTTCCCTCCCCTCCCTGTAGAAGCCATTACTATGCGTTGATGTGCTCCTAGGTTTTTAATCTGGCTGGTCTAGGAAGCTGGGAGTGGGGGCGGCAGCACGGGGGGGGGGGGAATCCAGCCTTTGCTGAAGCTGGTGTGTGTGTGTGTCCTCAGTGTTGGGGTTCGGCGCTCCCACGGGGTGCTTTTGAGGGGCACCCGCTAAAAGCACGATGGCTTTTATGATGGGCTGCAGCTGCATCGTTGTGAGATTTGCGGGTGGAAATGAAGGATGTGTGTGTGCGTGTGTCAAAAAAAACAGGTAGTCCTTGACTTACAGCCGCTCGTCTAGTGACGGTTGGAAGTTACAACAGCCCTGGAAAAATGACCGTTTTTGCAGCGTCCCTCATCCAAATTCAGACGCTGGGCAACTGACTCGTGTTTATGACGGTTGCAATGTCCCGGGGTGTGTGTGTGTGTGTGTGTGTGTGACGTGATTCCCTTTTGCAACCTTCTGACAATAGCAATAAGACTTGTTGGGTGGGGGGTTGGACTAGATGACCTACAAGGTCCCTTCCAACTCTAATTCTAATGCACCTACTTCTACATGGCTTCAAACGGCTTTGCTGCTCTCTCTAAGCCGGGCCTCTTCAAACTTGGCCCCTTTTATGACTTGTGGACTTCAACTCCCAGAATTCCTCAGCCAGGCTGAGGAATTCTGGGAGTTGAAGTCCACAAGTCATAAAAGGGGCCAAGTTTGAAGAGGCCTGCTCTAATCAGCTTGCCCACTGCCAGAAAATCTGGGTCGCTTTACAAGGGCACGGGAAAAAAAAAGGTGACTTTTTTCCCCCAGTGCTGTTGTAACTTCGAACGGTCACTAAATGAACGGTTGTAAAGCGAGGACTACCTGTGTAACCCTATTCATTCTGGCGATTGCCCCGCCCCCTTTTCCCGAGTCTGACATTTCTCTCTATCTCCCCCTAGTGGACAAATACATCGCCATGGCCAAGGAGAAGCACGGCTACAACATTGAACAGGTAAAGGGATAAAATAGCATTAAAAGCCCCGCCAAACCTCCCATCTCGATCTGGTCACTCGTCTTTTTCCAGGGTCAGCTTCCCAACAGGCACTAGAAACTTATTTTTAAAGGGACTCTCACCTTTCCAGGTTTGGAAGAAACAGGCTTCTCCGTCCACAGTCTCAATCTCTTTTTCTTCCCCTCTCCCCCCACAAAAACAGGCTTTGGGGATGCTCTTGTGGCACAAACACGATGTGGAGAAGTCGCTGGCCGATTTAGCCAATTTCACGCCGTTCCCCGATGAATGGACGGTGGAAGACAAAGTCCTGTTCGAACAAGCCTTCAGCTTCCATGGGAAAAGCTTTGCTCGGATCCAGCAGATGGTACATAAAAGCTCCCTTCTCCCTGGCCCCCCGTAGTTAGAGTGCTGCTGTGGGGGGGGGGGACTGGATTTAAACCAGGTTACTCTGCTCTTTTTTTTATCTGCCCGCACTATAGCCAATGAAGTTGATTGACATCTTCCTAAAGTCTTAAAAAAAAAGAAAAAGGAAAAAAAAATTAGTGGCCAAAATGAATGAATGAATGAATGAATGAATGAATGAATGAATGAATGAATGAATGAGAGGTTTAAATTATAACTTGCCAGCCAAAAGCAGGTTAGCAGCAGCTGGCTATGTAGACAGTCAGGAATTGCACTTGCTGGCTGAAAACCAACCAGCCAGCCCGTTCTTTTGCTGGTAAGCAAGCAAGAAAATATATTTTTGTCCTATTGAGAAGCAATGTCACTATGCAAGCCCGGGTCAATTGTGGTGTCGCAATCCTGGGTCATACATTGTTGTATGCAACCCAGAAAGAAAGGAAGGAAGGAAGGAAGGAAGGAAGGAAGGAAGAAGAAAGAGAAAGAAACAGAGAGAGAGAGGAAGGAAGGAAGGAATTACGGAGGGAGGGAAATGAAAGAAGGAAGAGAGAGAGGGAAGGAGGGAGGAAAAAGGAAGAAGGAAGGAGAAAAAAGGAAAAGGAAAAGAAAGAAAAAGAAAGAAGGGAGGGAGGGAGGGAAAAGGAAGGAGAAAAAAGAAAGAAGGAAGGAAGGAATTACGGAGGGAGGGAAATGGAAGGAAGGAAGAAAGAGAGGGAGGGAGGAAAGGAAAAAAGGAGAAAAAAGGAAAACAAAGAGAAAAAGAAAAAAGAAAAAGAAAAGAAAGAATAAGAAAGAAGGCAGAGAGGGAAAAGGAAGATGGAAGGAAGGAGAAAAAAGAAGGGAAAGAAAGAAAAAGAAAGAAAAGAGAGAAAGAAAGAAAGAAAGAAAGAAAAAGAAAGAAAGAGAAAGAAAGAGTCTTGAAGGGCAGGGCTTCTGGTATACCTTATTAGCCTCCATTTCTAAGCCAGAGAGGTATTAGGTTTTCCAATTTCTAGCAAAAAACCCCACCTCCATGCTTTTGAATCAAGCTGGATTTGCACATGGAAGGGAATATTCGTAGCTGTGGGGTCCCTTGGTGCTCTCTGAACCTAGATTGTTTTTTCTTGGTCGACATTTCATGACCCAACGGTAACAACAAGAGATCTAAAAGAGAGTTAGTTGACTCTCATGATCTTTTAGCACCGAAAAATATTACCTGGTTGAGTAATGAAATGCCTGCCGGAGGTCAACCCAGCTCGGAGAGGAGACCAAGAAGGACCCCACAAGTTATATCCAGCTCCCCTTGAGTGAGTTTGACCTCTGTGTAAAGTGTGCTGGGTCTTTCGCAGGCCCAGTTTTAATTGTGTCGTGTTGTGCAACGAGGCTGGCACAAAGTGTTGATCCGGTCAGCCTTATACGGAGGGTTGATCATCATACGAAAGCTTAGTAGATGCTGAATTTCTTGACCCACCATCGTTTCTCTCTCTTTTCTCTCCCTCCCTCCCTCCAACTCAATGTAGCTTCCTGACAAGTTAATCCCCAGCTTGGTGAAATATTACTACTCGTGGAAAAAGACGAGAAGTCGGACAAGTGTGATGGACCGGCAAGCCCGCAAGTTGCTCAGCAAGAAGGAGAAGGATGACAGGTGATCCAGTAAAGGGATCCAGTCCATCAGGAGGCAAACAAAGGCGTTGACTTTGGGGTGATGGAGAGAACTTTGCAGCAGGTTCTGCTACCTCCCAAAAGGCCTCCTGAACATGTTTGAGGCCAAATGCGGCTCTTTTGTGTTTGTGTGTGTGTGTGTGTATGTACACACACACAGATGTAGAAATAGAGGCAAACCACACAGATGGTTTTTGTGGGAAGTTGTTTCTGGGAACTGGGGAAGAAACTAGGATAAACCATTGAGTAGATCAGAAGTCTTCAAACTTGGCAACTTTGATGACTTGTGGACTTCAACTCCCAGAATTCCTCGACCTGGCTGAGGAATTCTGGGAGTTGAAGTCCACAAGTCATCAAAGGGCCAGGTTTGAAGACCTCTGGAGTATGATGGAAACATCTAAAATCACTTGTAGGATAGGCAGGTCTGAGGTGGCTGGAGAAGACCTCACTCAAAGTTGCCGTATTTTATACCCACAGCAGCGATGAACTGGAAGAGGCCCGCCAGGCCAGCGAAGGGGAATTTGATGCCATGGATCCCAAGAAGGAGGTAAGGAATAACAAGAGTCGGAAGGGACCTTGAAGGTCATCCAGCCCAACCCCCTGCTCAAGCCAGCAAGAAGACCTATTTCATTTCAGACAAAATGGTTGTCCAATCTCTTCTTGATAAACCTCCAGAAATACGGTACCTTGCAGCAGGAATGCCTTGGGGGGGGGGGTTTCCTAGATTTCATCCCTCGCCCCCCTCTCTCTCTCCCCCCAGCCTAGTTATCCGAAGCCCCCCAGCAGCAAAGCTGGGCCAATGAAAAAGGAGGTCCAGCTGCCCCAATATCGGCACCACCCTCTCCGTGCTCGCCGGCGCCCCCCGAAGGGCATGTACCTGAGCCAGGAAGGCATCACGGGCCTCTCCGCCAGTCCTGACATGGCCGTGCTCACGTTGCGCCATCTGGACTCCCAGTTGGTTTCGCTAAAACGCCAGGTAAAAAAAGTCCAAAATCTTTCTTATTTTTTTGCATTTGAACCTAGTCCTGATTTTAAAGGTATTTTCTGCAGCTGAGGAGGGCTAAAATCACAGCGGCAAAGCATAAAAGCCGCATTGAATCGTTGACTTGCTTCCGTTTGTTTAAGAAGTGGGGTTTGGAATGGAATGAGAGTCGGAAGGGACCTTGGAGGTCTTCTAGTCCAACCCCCTGCTCAGGCAGGAGACCCTGTACTACTATTCCAGACAAATGGATGTCCAATCTGTTTGAAAACTTCCAGTGATGGAGCACCCACGACTTCTGGTGGCAGGTTGTTCTACTGGTTAATTGTTCTCGCTGTCAGGAAATTCATTCAAAAAGTGAAATTGGGAGAGTGAGCAAAAATTGCCCAGTCCAGCTGGATGAAGTGGTGGCCTCTTCAGGAGAAGCACCCCTTCCAGGTTTCTGGCATCTCACCTTCCCTTAGGTTGCCTCTTGAGCGTAGCCAACCACACCTGGAGGTACTGATGGAAATCACTTTTTTAACGTGCAAATTATCGAAAAACTGGAATTTAAGTTGCTCCTCCATTATCTACAGCTGGTTGACGGGAGATTCTGTTATTCTGTTGTTAAGATTCTGTTATTCTGATTCCAGCATCTTGGTCTACACTTCTGTGATGAGGTTTCATCCAGTTTCTCTCCTCGATTAGTTTCCATCCCTTGCTTCTTGTCCTGCCTTCAGGACAGTGGGGAAAGTTGCAAGTCTCACTTAATGACAATAGGGATTTGCTTAAGGGCTGTGGCCAAAAAAGGCCGCCAAATCGGATCGCGGAGGGCTTAATGACCAATTTTCCAAGGTTTGTTGCTGTAAGTTGAGGACTTCTCTTTAATTTTCAGGTCGGTAGTTTGGTTACCAGTTCCTCTTTTGTCTCCTCCTCCTCTTCCTCCATCTTTTTAAGCTTGTGGGGTGCTGCTGCTGCTGACCCTTTTTGCCTTCCCCCCCAAACTTGGAAACCCCATACTGAGACTCCCCATCCCTTCCATGCTAGGTGCAGAGCATCAAACAGATCAACAGCAGCATGAAGCAGGCGCTAGGCGAAGGGATACACAAACTGCGCCCCCCTGAGGTGAGTGCTCACACTTGGACCCCAGGAAGGACGGCCCCGACTCATTCAGGGCAAGGATGAGAGGTCCACCTTTGTGCCCCCCCCCAAATAGGAGTAGGGGGACAGGCGAAAGGTTAGTTTAATTTATTTAAGGCAGCCATTTTGGTCTGGCCTGGTTACGGCCCCAGGCTAGAAACTAGGAGACGGTGAGTTCTAGGCCCGCCTTAGGCGTGAAAGATGATTGGGTGACTTTGGGCCAATCACCAGGAGACAGCGAGTTCTAGTGCCGCCTTAGGCCTGAAAGCTGTCTGGGTGACTTTGGGCCAATCACCAGGAGACGGTGAGTTTTAGTCCCGCCTTAGGCCTGAAAATTGGCTGGGTGTCTTTGGCCCAATCACCAGGAGACAGTGAGTTTTACTCCCGCCTTAAGCATGAAAGCTGTCTGAGTGACTTTGGCCAATCACCAGGAGACAATGAGTTCTAGTCCCGCCTTAAGCCTGAAAGCTGTCTGGGTAATTTTGGGCCAATCACCAGGAGACGGTGAGTTCTAGTCCCGCCTTAGGCCTGAAAGTTGGCTGGGTGTCTTTGGCCCAATCACCAGGAGACAGTGAGTTTTAGTCCCGCCTTAAGCATGAAAGCTGGCTGAGCGACTTTGGCCCAATCACCAGGAGACGGTGAGCTTTAGTCCCGCCTTAGGCCTGAAAACTGTCTGGGTGACTTTGGGCCAATCACCAGGAGACAGTGAGTTTTAGTCCCGCCTTAAGCATGAAAGCTATCTGAGTGACTTTGGCCAATCACCAGGAGACAATGAGTTCTAGTCCCGCCTTAAACGTGAAAGTCAGCTTTGGGCCAATCTCTCTCTCTCTCTGTCAACCCAGCCCACTTTGCAAGGTTGTTGTGGAGAAACGTAGGAGGAGGGAGTATTAGACCTGTTCACTATCTTCAGTTACTTATAAAACTAATAAAAGTTGCTTAAAGAAAAAAAAAGACATTCAGAGCCTACAGAAATTCCGTTCGTTCGTTTGCTACCGTTTGTGCAACTGAATTCGTGGCAATTGTTGGAGAGCGGAGATGGGAGACCCACTGAAGGATTTTGGGGAGGGGGACAGTCCTGGTTTTGGGGTTCCAAAGTGCTCTGGGGGAGGGGAGCAGAGAGGGTCCAAAAGGGGGACTCCCTTAAGATTCAACTCCAACCTGTAATTTTGTAGACTAACATCAAGTTTAATTCCCGCTGGACCACGGACGAGCAGCTGCTGGCGGTGCAGGGTGAGTTTTCCGACTGGCCGCGGGGGCGGGGGGGCTCCATGCCACCCTGCGGAACAGATGGGGGACCCCCTCCCCAGTAGGAGAAATAAGCACTGCGTATTTGCTCCCTGGGGGCACCAGGGCGCCTTTGTCCTGGGTTTGGATGGCGGACGCTGCCCCTTTGAACACCAGAGGCGGGAAGCCACGCTCTGCTGGCCGGGGCAGGCGCCCCCCGTGGTGCCAGGCAGGGCGCCCCGTTCCTGATTGTGGCTTTTCTCCCCCCCGCGCTCCCGAGGCAGCCATCCGGAAATACGGCAAGGACTTCCAAGCCATCGCCGAGGTGATCAGTAACAAGACGGTGGCCCAGGTGAAGACGTTCTTCGTCAGCTACCGTCGACGCTTCAACCTGGAGGAGGTGCTGCAGGAGTGGGAGGCCGAACAGGAGGGCCTGGCTCCAGCCCCCCCGCAAGGCAGCTCGCCCCCCCAGGAGCAGAAGAGCGGCAGCGAGGAAGAGGACGAGGTGAAGGGGAAGGCTTTGAGGTGCCGGGCACGATGGGGGTGCACGGCGCGGTGCTGATTTGGTCCCTTTGTTCCTTGCAGGTCCAGATCACCGCTGTATCGCGATCGGCGCAGCCGCCCCCGCTGCCTGCCCAGCCGCCACAGCCTCCCCCCGCGCTTCCCCCGCTGCCCGCCTCCCCCCGGCCTCCCCCCGTCGCGCTCTCCCAGCCTCCCCCCTTGCTGAGGCCCACCCTGCCCACAGCACCCATGCTGCACCGCCAGCCGCCCCCCCTGCAGCAAGGGCGCTTCCTCCAGCCCAGACTTTCCGTCAACGTTGACGGCGGGGGCGAGTAGGCTGGCCACCCCAGGGCCGTCCGGGACGGCGCCCCCCGGGTCGTGGGGGGTAGCGACGAGCCACCCTGCCCTCTGGGTGGGGGAGACGGGAGGAACCCCAGGGAAACTTCCCCCTGGGGGAGACGGGGCCGACCACCCCCAAGTCGAGTCTTGCCATGCTCGGGCAGTTGGCGACCCGAGAGGCAGCGGGGAGGGAAAGAGGTGGGGTGCGCAGGAAGAAGAGGGGGGGTGCCTTTCCACGCCTGCCCTCCCCTCCATCTCTAGCGTTTGGAAAGCTGACAGCCCTTAATGGGGGGGGGATGCTGGAATTGGGGCGGGGGGCTTTGTGGGTTGATGAGAAACTAGTAGAAGATGTAGCTTGGAATAGGACTGGAGTACGTTTTCACTGCTTGGGTGAAAAGTAGGGGGCGAGGATGATGAATTGAGGGGGGAGGGAGAAAGGCAGAGGGGGGGGGTCCAAGTTTGGGGAGGGGGAAGAGGCTGACTGCTCCAGGACCCAGAAGTCCCTACTCCGAGGAACCGAGGACTCGGAATTTCTACAATCTACAAAGACGAGGAAGAAGAGGATCGAAGCCGGGTCTGCTCTGTACTTACTCATCGTTCTCCTCCTCAAAGCAGTGCGTGGGACATCCGAGGCCAGCTGTGGGTCACCTTAAGGGGAAGAACAGGACCATTTACATCCCCCCCCCAATTTTCTGAGGACCTGCCCCCCCCCTTTTCCCGGCAGCTCAGCGTTGGCGTCTTTTTAGAGTTCATGCAGCATTTTCAATAAAAGATATTTTGGTACAAGCTTCGGGGTGGTGCTTGAATGGAAGAGGGACCAAGGGACGCTCCAGACCTCCCCCCCCACCTTGGACAATCCACAGCTTGGGGACATTTTCCAAGGAAGAGCCCCCACCCCCCCCACCCCAGTCCGCTCCCCATCATTTTGGAAAAACAGTCTTGGAGCACGTGCTTTTTTTTTTTATTTCTTTGGCTTTAATAAGAAACCAGCCAGAGTCTCCCAGAGATGCCACAGGGCTTTTGGAACCGGGGGGGGCCGGAGCACAAAGGAGTGTGCCCCCCCCACAGGAAAGGCTGCTGGTCCAGAGTCATGGGGGGGGGCGTGGGGAGGGGGGGGTGCCCAGCTTCCGTCCCTTGTGTCTGGAATGGGAGCAAATGTGGAGCCAAAAACAGGAATCCGACGCGAAGTAGGTGCTTTCTGGAAAGTTTTAATCTAGAACCTGTAAAACTACATCAAACGGCAGCATCCTTAGAGAGAGAGAGAAAGAGGGGAGGGAGGGGAGAGGGGAGCTGACCCCCCCTCCCCAAAAGGACATGATTTTCTTTCTTTTTTTTAAAAAAGGCAATGTTGTGATGAGAAATTAAACCAACAAAAAAAAAAAAATTATAACCACTCACAAAAACCGAGGTATCAGTACAGTTATATACAAACCAGGCGTGTACGTGTGTGTGTGTGTGTGTGTCAGAGAAGGGGAAGGGACTGCACAGCCCCCTCCCCAGGACCAAAAATACATTCTCAAGAGGGGGAGGGGGGCAATGTGACAACAAAAGATACCCAGAGAGCCAGGCCTAAGAGAAGGCAAGGGATTGCAACCAGGCCCAAGTCTTGTCTCTCTCTCTTTTTTTTTTTTGCTCTTGTGCTTTGGAAAGGGAAATAAAGATTTTTTTTGGGGGGGGGGGAAACAGGAGCCATGGGTCCCCCTCCCCACGCACACACTTTTTCCCCAGCAGAAATCGACCCGAGCTCTCCAGAAAAGCCAGGGGCAGCGTACCTGTGACCGGGGGGGGGGGGGGGGATAAAAACGGCGGGCCCAAAACTCTTCAAAACCATCCTGAACCCCTGGCTGTGCCCCCCTCCCCAAGCAGGCCTGTTCCACAGCCAGCCTCTGCCCCCCCCCAATGTTTGGGCCCACGGAAATACGTGCTGGGAAGGGGGAAGAAGAGAAGGCGAAACCCCAGAGCGAGCGGGGTTGTGCAGCATTCAAGACCGGAAACGAACTCCTTTGTGGACCCGGGGAGGGGTCCCATTATACGTTGTGTGTGTGTGTAAACAGGGTCTCTTAACGCCATGTCTGTATAAAGGGTGTGTGTGTGGAAACCAAGGAGTGATGGTTCGGGTTGCTGGGCGACCTCGGCAGCCCCCAATTCTCCCTCCGCTCGACCCCACCAGCAGCCCCCCAATTAGCAAGGAAGAACGTTGCACGGGGAAAGCCAAAAAAAAAAACTTGGGAGAATTGGGGGTCTTTGGGGAGTGTGTGTGTGTGTGCGCGTGTGTTTGTGTGTGGGGGGGTCATCTGCAGGGACCAAGCAGAGGGGGCGCCTCAGAGGCGTCCCTTGGCGGGAGGCACGTGGCTTCTAAGCGCTGGCTGGCGGGCACACGGAACCCGCGCTGTGTCAATGCCCAGCCAGACTCTCGGCTCTCCCGTTTCCCCGGCGGAAGGGGCTAGCTGCTGCCCCCCCCCACTCCATCCCAACAGCCTCCTGCCAGATGTGGTCTCCTCCGCTGACCCGGGCTCCTTACTCCGGCCTTGTGGGAAAGGATACCCCGCTCCTGCTCCCGAGGGGAGAGTCCCCTGTTGCAGTTTGGTAAAATGGCAAACCCTGTCTCATTTACAAGAAGGGGGGGGGGGGAAGAGAGAGAAAGGGAAGGGGGAGGAAGAAAAAAAAAAAAAGGAAGAAAAAGTACCACGGTCGCCACGGAGACCAAAAGGGATGCTTCCTCATCCGACAGCCCTTGGTACCCCCCCTCCCGTTACTGTTGCCACGGAGACCAGCTAGGTGGCTGCCAACCACAATCCCAGGCACCCTGTCTCCATGGAGATCCATCAGCGGGGGTGGGGGGGTGGGGGGAGATGGAGAGGCGGCGGGGATACCCCTGCCCCCCCACCCACCCCGCCCGCATGGGCCCGGCACTGGCACCCGGGCCCCTCTCCAAGTGAAGTTGCGGCTCTCTTCCTCCTGAACACCCCCCCTCCTCCGTTGCGTGTGCAGGCCAGGCGCCCCCCCCTCTCCCGGGGGTGGCCGTTAAAGCTTGAGTTCGTTGGCGATTTTGGAGGCAATGTTCTTGAAGGCCATGGAAGTGCCCGATATCCGCTTGAAGCGGACGCCGTTGAGCGAGAGGCGGGGCAGTTTGCAAACTTCCATCTCCCACTGCACGAAGGCCTCGTGGCCGGGCGCCCCGTGCATGCACAGGAGCATGTACTTCTCCTGCAATTCGCACTGGCAACTGTTCGCATCCAGCACCTTCCGGATCTCCTTCATCATCTCGTTGGGCTCCATGGAGCTGGTGGTCTTCATGCTCCAGGTGAAGCGCAGCGAGCGCGGCTTGGCCTCCCGGTTCTCGTCCCGGTCTTTCTCCCCGCTGCCGCTGCCACCCATCATGTGAGGCCTGCCGGGGAGGGAGGGGAGGAGAAAGGGAAAAGGTGAGGAGGGAGAAGGAGGCCCCCCCCACCCCTCTGGCTGGCACCACCATGCTGCTCAGCCTGATCCGTGATCCAGAAGAGCTGGAGGATGGGGGAGGATGGAAAGAGAAAGAAATGGAGAAGGAGGAGGAGGAGGAGGAGGAGGAGCTGTGGGGTTCTTGGTTCTGTCTGAGACTGGTTGTTTTCTTGCAGACATTTCGTGAACCAACTAGGTATCATCATCAGTGCTAGAAGGGAGTGGGGTTTGTGAGGAGGAGGAGGAGGAGGAGGCGGCGGAACTGTGGGGTTCTTGGTTCTGTCTGAGACTGGTTGTTTTCTTGCAGACATTTCGTGAACCAACTAGGTATCATCATCAGTGCTAGAAGGGAGTGGGGTTTGTGAGGAGGAGGAGGAGGAGGAGGAGGAACTGTGGGGTTCTTGGTTCTGTCTGAGCCTGGTTGTTTTCTTGCAGACATTTCGTGAACCTACTAGGTAACATCATCAATGCTGTAAGGGAGGGGTGTTTGTGAAGAGGAGGAGGAGGAGGAGGACTGTGGTGTTCTCTGAGCTTGGTTGTTTTCTTGCCGACATCTCATTACCCAACTAGGTAACATCATCAGTGCTAGAAGGGAGAGGGGTTTACGAAGAGGAGGAGGAAGAGAAAGAGAAAGAAAGAGATCAGGGAAACGAAGGGGATGGAGGTAGTTGCCAAGGAGCAGCCTGGCCCTGCTGGAGAAACAGACCGAGGGGACCACGGGTGGGAAGCCCCTCCCCGCCCTGGCTGAGTCTCACCTGAGCGTCTCCACACGGTCTTTGCTTTCGGGCTCATGCAGGTTCCTCAAAAAACAGAGCAGGAGACAAGCCATCAGCACCCTCCAGTTAGCCTTCCTGCTCCTGGTTTTTGTTTTCTTTCCCCCCAAGCCACGGGGAGGGGGGCATTCGAAGGTGGAAGAGAGGGGCTAAGGTGTGGCGGGGCCCCAGGCAGAGCGGGCAACCCCTCTCGGTTCTTGCTCGGCATGCTGGGATCAGCCAAAGCAGGCCTTTGGGGGGCGGGGAAGCTACACAATCAGCCTTGGGTTCTTCGTTTGTCTGGGCACAAGCACCGTTTCTCTAATCGCTCCCCAAGAACAGAAGCCACGGACAAGCAAGGCAGAAAGGAGGAAGAGGAGGAGATGGAGCTACATGGAGAAGGGGAACAGGCTGAGCCACGGAAGGAGGGGACTCCTGGCTGAGGAATTCTGGGACTTGAAGTCCAGAAGTCATCAAAGGGCCAAGTTTGAAGACCCCTGCCCTACCTATTACTTTCACGAGGCACTCTCCTGTGCAAAAGGTAAAGCGAGACAACGCAAGAGTGCTTTGGCAGTTGCTCGTAGCTTGAGACTCTACCTGCCAGGACAATGAATGACTTAAGTCCTGTCACAGCCAGCCAATTTCTCCCAGCAGAGATGCAGGTTGAGGAGGGGAGGAGGGCTATCTTGTAAATCCACCCACCCTTTTTTTGTTTGGATGCACTCGCACATACACACTCTCTGTTCTGCCCCAACTGAATGTCTCTGCGTCAATTTTATAGGTCAACCCTGTTGCTGTACCAGGTTGCAATAAGGTTGAATAAAGCAGGCAATTTCGGTTTTTTTCTGTCAGTAAGCAGATATTGCTCCAGCAAAGGCTGGGTGTTTGAAGAAAAACAACTCCCTTTTTTGCCGTTATTTTCCCTTGAAACAGGAGTTCAGGCGAGTGGATGAAGCTGCCCTGATTCCATTTATCAGACACGACTCTGTAGCGCTCACGGCTGAAAAACTGACAGCGTAATTTCCTCCGTTATTTGAGAGAGGGAACTTATGGAAATGACAGCGGGAGACCTAGTTTATGTACGGCGCGCACTATACAGGCAGTCCTCGACTTACAACGGTTCATTTAGCGACCGCTCAAAGTTACAATGGCACTGAAAAAAGTGACTTAGGACAGTTTTTCACACTTACGACCGTTGCAGCATCCCCCA